GACGTAATTAGGGCAGCAAAAAGGAGCGTCTGTTTTTGCCATCAAGGTTTGATGACCCTCATCTCCCCCTTTCTACTTTAAAGTTATAACCATCACTCCGATTGCCGGAAAAATGCATAAACTAATAAAGTAGGAATCAACTGGTTTTTCAGCAGTATGTTGTACTTTTTTGTAAACAATTGTAAGTGATGATACAAAGGGGAAATACGGTAATTATTTTCATTCCCAGAATAGGCCAGGGCAGAATAGGAGATACCATAACCGTTTAGCACAGGTCTGGTCAAAGGATCGGCTTCACTTGTCTCTTTGACGAGTTACTATGTAACATGGTGCTACGAATGGTGAAACTCACTGACGATGCCGGCGAAACGTCTGGCAATGTACCGCGTGCACGGTTCGACTTTGAAAATAATTATGCATACAATGGCCTCAGGACAAGGTGCTTTGCTGCCAATATGAGCAAGTTGCGAAAACACGGTCAAACAATTTCTATGTTACTTTAATGTTGATTTAGTAAAAAAATAAATAATGAAGATACACGAGTTTTATCCATTTTTATGTCGTTGTTAGGATGGGGCGCCGTGGAAAAATGTCGATTGAAAAAGAGCGCCGCGATTAGGTTAAAGTTTGGGAACCCAACTGGCCGAAGAGATTGGCTCTGCCAGGCGTTCAAATGACGCCCTCGAGCAACGGCACAACGCATTCCACCCGCCTACTCCTTCACGTGACGTCGGACCCGTTTCTCTCACCGGCACACACTTGCGCCTGACCCTGCCCCGTCCGTCTATCGACGCGACGAGACGGCATAAACCAACTCAACGGGCCCTTCGGTTGTGCGCCGCATTTTGCGTGTCCTTCAACTTGCCCCTGGCAAACCGTCGCGCAGCCAATGGCCCGAAACCAGGTCAACCGTAAGCACAAATCAGAAGCAGACTTTCGCATCTCACAAAGGGTTCAGTGAGCTGTATTGCACTCGCACCGGCAGACACCTTCGCGCCACAACCTCTCGTGTCCACTCATCGTGCATGGGCAGCAGCAGCAGCAGCAGCAGCAGCAGCAGCAATTGGCTCTCCGACAATCGGTAGCCGCCTCCTGCTGGTGCGCTAAACGCCACGACTACAACATGCCCTCTTAGGCTCTGACAGGCCTTAACAACACTTCGTCACCGATGTACTCGGGTGGTTCTATGTTTTCATGTATTTTACACAATCTTGCGTCAATTCGATTGATTCGGCTCAACTATGCAAGTCAGGTTAAGCCTCATGTTGGTCAGTAAAGGCATCACGGTCTCTTTCGTTTCTATCGCAGCCTCTATCGGGCTTCTATTTGACTTTTTAATGGCCAATAACTCCTTCATTCCATATTTCTGAACACTTCTTCTACATCTCCATGAATGGGCGTATATCATTCTTGAATATGAAATGGCAACACTTGTCACATTGATACGTAAACTGGCCTCCGGCATGGTCGCGGTCTCCTTTCGATTTGTAGATGTTGGTTGACCTCGTTGTCGCAACTTGGACTTTGCAGAACACGCCTAGTCCGAAGTCGTCTGGCCTAGTAGTTGTCATGACTCCCAGCATCAGACAGTGGACCTGGCACATTGTCAAACGTGAGAAGTTGCGATATGGCGACAGTGGGATAAGAGGGTAAAGGGTGGATAGATAGGCCAGGACGTAAAGAGGAGTGATAGTGTAACCGTTGGCCGAGGGATTGACTTGACTTGACTTGTCTGTTTGACGAGTTCGTGGCTGGGTGCGCAGAATGGCAAAACTCACTGAAGATGGCGTCGAAACGTCTGAGAATGTATCAACTACACGGTTTGAGGCTCGGAATTAGGATAACTACTATGGCAGAGGACTTCGGACTAGTTGCCTGCTACTACGTCGCCCTGACAACAAGACCAAGTTGCGACAACTAGGTCAACCCGTTTCTATCCGCACTTGGTTTGGGCGGCAACGTGCCCAACTTCGCTTTGATCTCGTCAGAAGCCTCAATCGCATCCGAAGCGCAGCAGCAGAGTTGCGTCGCCAAGACTACTCGAGCGGTTGACATTTTGCCCCAGGATTTGCTCGCCTCTGGACAACTCTAATGTGGCATCGCTACCACTGCTGGTTTCGCACATATGCAAACAGATGCAGGCATATACACACTAACGTGCTTCGAGATTGATATTGACTTGAACTAACCAAATTACTTTATACCTCATCAAAGAGATCAGATATTGAGTATGCATACATCATTTTAGGCATGAGCCGGTAAGTTTTCTTGATTTGTTTGTTTGAACATGTTTGTAGGGACGATACCCTGTTCTGATGATGTCCGTCATACCACGGACGAAAACTTGGCACGTTTTCACCGGAATCGAGAGAGAATGGTTTGGAAACAGCGTCAAGCGGAATATTCCAAGAGCAATTGGCCGTCGTCCTCTGGTGGGATGGACCTCTTCACCAAACACTTTCACTCGAAATGGAAGTAAGTCCAACAATCATGAAACAAGAGATTCCTCGCAACTCAACTTTCCTTCGCATATACTTTTCCCTTCGTCGTGACTAGAATGACTTCCTTTCCTGTGCAACCATTCGATGCTGGCGCCTGGCGACTACAGAACAAGCTACTGTAGTTGTTTGACCTTGTTTTCGCAACTTGATCATATTGTCAGCAAGACCCGGAGGATCACACCTCGTCCGGAGTTCAAAGTATGCATGATAATTTCCAGAGTTGGATCGTGTATTGTGTACACATTTTCAGACGTTTCGCCGTCAGTGGGCCTTGTCCTTCTTAGCTCCACACTACAACTCGTCAAATATAGAGCGAAAGGAGACCTCAACCCTACAAAAGGCCACACTTGCTTGGTCTTCATACCTTCTGGAAAAAGACCTTCTTCACATGAAGAGTCACGGTTCCGAGCGCCCCATATTATTCACTTTGAAGATGGGCCTTATGGTTGCGTCATGCAATTACTCGTCTGTCTT